TTTTTTAATAAGTTTTTGAAAGAACAAAAACACTAATGTTTAAATACTCACCAAGGATGCATTTATTTAATCAAAAAATACAGTAATAACAATAATATTATGAAATATTACAATTTAAAATAACTGCTTTTCTCATTAACTATGTGCATTGCCAGAGTATCGCCTTGTTTGTGCAACGTCATACACTACCTGCATCATTTCACAACACACATCTCCAAGTTGGAAGTTTAGCTTTAAGTGGCATTCAATTGTGATCCTCTAATCTTTGGGATTAGAAATTCTGACTTGGATACAGTATAGGATTTGGACTATTTAAAAAAAAAAAAAACCCCGATTAATACAGGGGCTATAGGATATCTCCCCATTCAATTAAAAGAACCAACCACCTGGTTTTCACATCAAAACATGCGTCTTAGCTGGCACATCCTGAAGAAAGCATTTTAGCACAATTTCAGCTAAATTTATAGTACCACTGTCGCTAAAGTTTTATTGCTATTGCCTAGAAAATAGCTGTCCAGAGGAACTGCCAAGATGGCCACTTAGTGACTGGACTTGCATTTTGGGACTTTGACGGAACGCAGAATAAGTCATAATATAAAATAAAAGCCTAAATTTACAGCAGCAATTCAGTGGTGTGTCCCATAAACGGGAAAATAACAGGGCAGAACAAGCATCCATTCTGTTCAACAAAGCTCAGTCAATGATTTCTAACAACACAATGCCCTCAAAACCAGGGAAGGCCGCCAACACGCATAACCGCATGGGCTTCTCATAATAGCACTGAAATCTCATTATTTACAGGTATTGCTTCAGAAGTGACTTGCGATTAGTGATTAGAGGGGAGTTAAGCACTCATTAAATAATCACCACAAATATTGAATTGGGTTCATTAGTGAAAAACAAAAAAAAAACAAGAACCAGATCTCAAAGAAACAAGAAAATACGTTTCACATAAACTACTTCTCCCTTGCCGTTTTCCACTGAACAAAAACTAAACCTAAAAATCTATTTTCCTACCTGCAACATCAGAACAACAGTCTTCACTATATTCCACTGAGACTTCCTGCCGTCGACGATGACCGTGAAACCACGAGCTTTGCACTTCTCGCTGCAGAGATACAACAGAAAAACATGACATTTTATTCAGTTACATAACACCAATACATGTTGTCAGTCCACATACAATGAATCAATTACAATGACTCCACTGTGGCTTTGTTGTTAAACGGACTAATTTGTTTGTTCTGTGGTGGCATTTTAAAAATGAATAAACTGAGCTTGTGTGAGTCACAGATTCCAAGAAACATGTATTCACTCATACGGTTACCATTTTGGTTTGTAAAAAGAATAACACAACTTTTTAGGGCTGAACAACACTTCTTTTCATTCTTTGAGGGAAGAGAACAGCCAACTCATCCTGTAAAATGCCTCTAAAAATGTCACCAGAAAGTAATTTGGAGAAGGTCACTATAAAAGCATTGAAAAACAAAAGGGACTACAGAACCAGTGACGGTCTTACTGCCAGCGGTCATGTGAGGCTCGACTGTCAGACTTTAACTTATTAATTATCTTCAATAATAGGATCAGATTAAAGCAATAGATACTATGTGTTACCTTGATTTTTACCAAGGATGTAATTGTTACTACATTTGTTATTGACTAATATTAGACTTTTATTATTTATTAGTATCATTAAACAATGAATATTTAATTGTTCACACGCATGTCCCCTATTTTTACAATACTTTTTTTTAATCTAATAATGCTCAGCTCATCTTTAAAAACACTAATAATCAAATAACACTTAAATATTAACATTTAGAAAAATGTATATCCATCTCTAATATCCATTTTCATACTACACATACTATAAATTTGATTTTAAAAATGCAATGACTGATTCTAAATCTTAGTCTTTAAAAGTGT